GCCGCCAGCAGGACGGGCCGGCTAGCCTGGGGGCCAGCCCATCTGACGACCCCCCATGATGTGGATGTGGATGTGGTAGACCGTCTGGCCCCCATGGGGCCCCTCGTTCACCACCAGCCGGTAACCCTCGCTGAGGCCCTGCTTTTCGGCACAGTCTTTGGCCACGATCATCAGATGGCCCAGGAGCTGGAAGAGGAGAAAGGGGGATTCAGACGGAGCAGCAGAGAGGAAAACCAGGGGGACAGAGCAACCCGAAACACAGAGGACATACATCACTAACACGTTAAATTGGGTAACATGATCGATGTGCTTAAAACCACAGAATGACTGGAAAATTATAAACATGTTCATTATCCACCGGTCTCCAGGTTTGGGAAAAGCTTTCTAAAAGGCTCCTTTTGTTATTCAAATGAGCGGAAATGCAAGAACACCAATCATGCATATCAGTCACAGAGACAAAGAAATTAATGAATAATAATAATGATAATAAAAATAACAACAACCGGTCAGAATGATGCACTTGCGTTTATCGCTCCCCAAATTCCCGATTTCCGTTTATAGTGGCAAACAGCACAGCCTGGTGGTGTCGACAGAGCACTCAAGAGCTAAACACAAACGAAAACAATTCCTTTTTTAATCTAAGAATAATACTAAAATAAGGAAAGTCCTCTCGGGTCATCATTCATCCCCTGGACAGTTTCATTTGCATTTTATCTGCTTCACAGTCTGCGTGCAGATGGTATCTTAAGCTGATTACACTGAAAGTCTATCACATACTAACAAGTCAGTGTTTGCCGGCTGGATGATCTCCGGCGCGTCACTCTGCAGTCCCACACAGGGTCCGGTCAGGCTGCCATTTAATGGTGACCCCACAATGCAGGACGGCTACAAAACCCCGACAAGTCTCCCTAAAGTGCTGATGGTGTCAGATATCCTGGGTGCTAAATTCCTCATTTTTCTAAAAGCCCCACACTTAAAAAAAAAAAAAAATTCACCACCAGAGTTTTGTCACTACAGTGAAAATGTTTTAGTAGTCCAAAAAGGCACTCTGGGAATTCCAGTGTCCTTAGCGATGTAAAAAACTGACAAATTACCCCCCCCCCCATTCCTGCTGCTGTTTTGGGTTCCATGCTTTAGTTCCATCACCACCTCGAATTAAGAAATAGCACTGAAGATGTGCAGATTAGACTCCCTGCTCTGAGACGACGTTCAGAGTTAAGAGCTAATGAGCATCTATTTAAATTATCTTAATTATCCAGTTACTGACCTGCAACACGCAATAGACTTTACAGGTAAATAATACAGATACCATTCAGACGACGTCCTTGGCTGAACTGTGGACATTGTCGATACTGCTGAGCAAGTGAAGATAAACTGAAATCACCAAAAATGTGCCCAACAAACACAAAATTCCCAGTGCAGATAACAGGACTGACAGGGAAGGATTCAACTTTCGATGAATAATAAGTAGGGCTGTAACTGTATGCATATTCATCATTTACTGTTTTGTCATTTTCAGTTTGGCACACACAACGAAATGAATGGATACATTTATTGACACGAGCGGAACAAGTTGACAAGTGTTCAACAAGGAAAACATGTTAACTGTAGCTGTGAGTTGGTTACGGCTAATGTGAGTTACAGTCGGCATTATCAACAGTTTGGGAACGTTTCGGTTTCCCAGTAAATTACACCAGCACTGGACAGAGAGCAGTTGATAAGCTCAAGTCAGCTCTGTCATACCGAACTCGGATATGTTGCTGGAAACACATCCAGCGTGCAAAGTCATTTGAGACCCAATCATCCGAGTGTGTGTACTACCGGAGTAAGTAGAATCCTCTGCAGGTTTAGCTTCCCGGCTGCATTTCAGGTGCTTTTGCCGGGAAACTCAGACTGGCCTAAAAAAAATAAGCGTCTGGTTGTGTTATTCAAGCGCACTGACAGCCTTTGGTTTACAATGGTTCCTAGTTGTGTTCGCAGTTTTAATAATAAATAAATAATTTCAAAACAAATTCTGTTTTGCCTGCTGTATTGAAATTACACTAGACCGTGAATCCAAAACCGAGGTTTCTACTAAACCGTGAATTTTGTGTACTGCTACACCCCTATTAATAAGTGAAGGTGGTTTAAACCGCTGTGTTTGGAACAGAACTCCCAGCAGAGCCCCTTCATTACAGCTTCAGTGTCTAAAGTTTTTCGCTGCTAAACCCTGACATCACCACACAACACTGTTTAAACACGCAACTTAGAACCATCACAAGAGCTGCAACCTGTCTCACAGTTCACTGGGAGTCAGAATTTAATAGTACATATTTTTTTTATTCTGAGAATAAAAAAGGACAAAAAAACCCCTCCCAATCCACTGCATGAAGCTGCCACAGACTATGCTTCGCAAACATTTCTGTTCAAAATATTTAGTTGCTGGTAAGCAGGTAGATTTCTATCTTTCTTTGGTTGTCCTGGCAACGCAGCTCTGCCAATGATATCAGACGACGCTTGTCCTTTACCACCTTATCAGCATGAGTGAATAAAACAGCAGAGATGTGCTACGCTGTGCAGATACGCTGTGGTTCCCCTCCAGAATGGACCAAATGTGAGGAGGCGGGACAACGTAACACGATCCGTTTCACTCGTTACTCTTCACAAACATTACGGCCAAACTGAAGGGGTCAATTCATGAAACAGCTTAACAGCAAAAATGCACTGCGTGTTACGCATTTCAAATTATACAGGTATCAACAGATGTCGTACTACTTTGGGTGACCTCCAATGCATACCATATTCAACAAGGGACTTCAGAGGAGTGCAACTAATTAGCACAAACACTAGTAAATACACTTAATAGACACAGAGATACAATTAAGCAAGCTAATTAACCAGCCTCATTTTTGGATAAATTTTACTTTAGACAGCAGCTATTAAAAACAAGTTTATATGTTTTAACATACAGGCTCAAATGATTATCTGAAGAAAAAATTGTCATTAAGACCAAAGAGTTAAGATTATTCACACATAATGTGACATGTGACAGAACTTGAATGATGAGTAACTGTAGGATGGCTGCTGGGAATGACGCTGAGTAAACGCCTGACTCACGATGGCCTGATAGCATAGGATGTTATCCTACCACCTCTACAGTCCCCAAATCATACCTGGACTATTAGTGCACCAACATCACAGTCATGTGAAGCAGGATAAATGCACCATAAACATACACACTTAAAAAAATAATAATTTAATGCAAAAACAATTGCTTAAAATCACTAATTTCTCGTTGCTCCTCTGCTTTCAAATATTCAAATATTTACCATGTGAATAATGAATATGTATTCGACTACCAGCAATATTCAGTGCACCGAATATTCGAGTGTATCCTAACGGCTCTACTTTCAAATAAACCAAGTCATATTTCTATAGTAAAAGAAAAGACAAACTAACTTTGCAGTTACTAGCAATGTCAGATAATCAAACTGATTCAAGATCAAAAATTTTCATCTCCTGAAATAGAAACAGATTCTGCCCCCATAGAGCTTATGACACTTAGATATTTCATGTATTTGCCTAGTAGTCAACTTGCACACGTTGGTATTGTTTCACCCACAAATTGAGTCCACGCTGTTTACTCTGCTCACCCACAGAAGTGTAGTTTAGTTTACCTATTAGTTTGTCACTGTGCGATCACCCAGTGCATCATGGGATAGACCCTGGCTACAGGAAACATGACTAGACAAGCAAACAGAAAGGGAGGCTGAAACTCATATGCTGATAGCTAGTGGCAATCATTGCAGGTGTAGGGTTTGTAAGGGCTTAATTATTCATTTGCATTTAAATGATGATGTTTGACAGTTTGCATTACCTTGCAGTACATTATAGAGTGATAAAGGCAGAAAATCAAAAAACGCTCTTCAGCACATCATAAACATCCAGGACCCTACAAACTCACAGCAGTCACGGAAGACTGGAGCTGACAAATGTGAGAGGGGAGCAGTGGATGCACCCAGGCCTCATGCACTGGTGAACTATTCATGTCACAATCAAGGCCAATCAAATATCTCCTGACTCATCTCCACCTCTGCAGCTCAGCAGAATGTGTCAAGGTCGGTTCTGATTGCATCTGCACTTCAGGCGAGACGTGGAGCAGCATTCCGCAGAAGCTTAACTAGTCCCGCAATGAGTCAAACACAATGAGTCACCCCATTCTATGTGTAGATTCCATACACGATGCAGGGGCAGGATTCAAACCTGCAACCCTGGAGGTAAGAGGGGGTCGGAGCTACCCACTATCCCACTGTACTGTCCACATTATCATTCTTACTATTCCTATTCTCCTGATGATTATTATTATTAGTAGTATTGCTAATAATTCTCATAGAGATTCCTACTTCTCGGTATACTTACCGCAGCATCCTCAGCTTCCGCCTTGGAAAGGTGTGAGATGGGTTTTTTTGGGACGACCAGAAAATGAACGGGAGCCTGAGGGGCGATATCGTGGAAGGCTATGCACTGAAACAAGGGAGAGAAGTCAGAAAAGCAATAATCAGTGTAATGAATGGTTCAGTTTCAATTTTGATTGGCCTTTGAGTTATTTCTTTTAAGACTTCAGTTAAATTAAAAAAGGACACTGCAAACACCGTTTCCCTATTCCTTTAGCTTAACTAGTCACTGCTAGTGCCAGAATGTTCACTGCATCAATAAGTCAAAATGAAGAATTGCATGTCATCTTATGACAGGCCACCACTTTAGGGATATTAATGTCTCCCAGATCCATAGAAACTGTGCAGAATAATTCAATACTAGTTTTTCATTAAAATCAAACAGTTTCACCAGGATATAGTCTATTCCTATTTTTTCATAAAGAACTAAATCTAGCAGTAATTTTTAAATGATGGCTTGTATGCGGCAGGCCAAATAAGTAGCGAACTCTCTGGCGCCATCATGCGGCACAAAGGGGTGCGGTGACGCCTCGTCATAATTTTCATTCGCGTTTCCCTGGGGCCAAAGCAATGCTTGGTGGACTTGTAAGGTCAATACTGAAACGGTGCAGTAAGTGCTACAGAAAGCACTTAACAGAAAAACCACAGCATGAGGGGGTAACATCAGTTCTAACCGATATGGCATCAAAATAGAAAAAACCGTCTGAGGCAAAGTGAAATTTCCTTGCAAGTCGGCGCCCCCTCAGAATTTGGCGCCCTAGACGGCCGCCTACGTCGTCTATATAATTGACCGGCTCTGGAATTTGGATATCTACCCACACAATCCACAAATTATCAGCATAACATATGAGATGATTTTGTGCAGTGCCTCAGTCTCATTTGCATTTCCTTAACTGGTTAGGGTTAATGTGCAGGGACTGATCGTGCAACTGCTACTTGCTTTCGTTTCGTCGCAGGAAAGTTCAGGTTTCGTTATCAATAAGACTTAGGCCTATCGAATAAATATTTATTTCTGCCTGCGGTAATTTTCTATGTATCACGCTGAAAACGAAAAAACCCACATGTCATACGACGGACAACAAGCGGAACATAGGCATATCCAAGGCCTTCACATGGTATTATAAAAAATAGTATACGAAAAAGCATTTCTATGCAGTTACTGCACGTTCCTATAAAACTATTACTTGCGGGAAAATACAGACCGTTTGGAAACCCGGAATTTTATCCTTTCAATAAATTCATCAAGGATATATACGATTATATTCTGATAAACCAGCAACCGAAACTGTTAACGAGGCGCTGTGCTAACTATGAGCACAATAAAATAGTCCACTGTGTGCTGACCAGCTAGCATGAGTATACCATAAATGCACACCTGATCATCCTCATAGAATACATTTGCAGAAATCTCTTTACGGATGATTTTCCCGAAAATCGTGTCTCCTCCCGGCTTGGCGGTCTGCGCCTTAGCAATTTCGTCAGCCATGGCGGCTGGAGCAACCGGATGACTAGAGCGCTGAATATAGAAATATAAAACCATATCCCCCAAATGTGACTGTGATCTCCTATTGGTTGAGACGTTTGAGATCTTAGTTTATTGGTTGACGATCAGGTCAATCAATATTCGTATCTATGGGCGACCCAATCAGCGTCTCCGAAGTTCCACTTTTCATTCGGTGGCACATATAATGTAACTAAATATTCGTTCGATGCGGCAGCTTTTTTTATTGATTACGTGATCAAGCATTCTACAGCGATTTTCATTATCATCAGCATGAGTTTAAAAATAACCAATTTGCTGACATTATTTTATGTAATGTAACATTACTCGTATACGTGTTATCTAGACATATACACTGCAGAATATCTACCAAGGCAGATGCATTAATTGCATCTGCCTTGGTAGATATTTATTTGCATTAAATATACTGCTTTTAAAAATACAATATAAAATATTAAATAAATGTAGAATATACTTAACTTTCCCTAAAATGTGTTTGCATGGCCCTATGGCATACACTAATGTGTGTCGTAGAAGGGTATACTATAGTACAGTAGTTAGTATCAAGAGAATGTTGGTAGCAAGATGAAGTCCGGAGTAATGAATCCCATTTAAACAAGCTGATAAGAGAACTAATGATTCTCGAATATTAAATTATAAGCTACTGACAATGAGTAAAATAAATCAATAACAAATATAATTATATACTATATTGTGATGTAGTAGCAGTCGTATTCGGATCTGCCCAAAGTATGACTGATTGCAGTTTTTATTGCTTTTTTTTATCTTTATTTAGCTTTTTAAAAATCTTTATTTGATTATGACAATGTGATCCCGATTTTCAAATACTGTCTTATTATTTTCCTGTTACTTTCCTGTTAACTAAAGAGCCCCAAACCAGCTTTATGCTTAATTATTTTGTTTGAACGTTGCGGTAAAAATCTTAGACTGGTAAGAATATATGATCATGTAAATAGTCTGTTTTACCCTTGTTTTAAAATGCTTAATGTTTACCGAAATAAAGACACCTCGATACAAAGCTCAAGCAAATATGAGCAGTAAAACACGTGGTTTCCTCCAGTGCTATAGAGGGCAGTAATGGAGTTCTTAGCACAGTTCTGTGGGTGAAGTAAAAGAGAAAGAGACATTTCAAATGCCATTTTACAGGCTTGAATCACCATGACTTGGTTGGTTTTATAATCATTACCGCATTTCCTAAAAAATAAATTACTCCCGACGGAAACTGCACATTGTATCCATAAATATAAAAGCGTCTTCAACGACCATGTGAGTAGCTCAATAGCCTATCACAGAGCGTTTGTGTTACTCTGGCACCTTGCCCCCGCCCCTTCAGTGCACAGGGCCAATGGCGTGTTAGGAAAGGACGGCGATAGAGTGGACTAGTGGAAATGGAGTCTCGTCTGAAGGTGAATTTGAACGTTACATGTTAGTTAATTAACACGAACTAGCTGATTAGTGATGACTGTTTGTGCCGGGAAATATTTGGAAAGTAGTTTGTGTGTCGCTAATTTCATAACTAACTTAAATGATGGACATTGCGTAAAATGCTGTTCAGGATAGGCCTAACATAGGTTGCTGATGACAGAGAATTTCTTCATATTCTACTTTCAGGTTCTCCGGTTATTTAAAGTCCTTCACAGAACAAGACAGGACGTGTTCAAAGACGATATTAGAGCTCTGACGGGTATCGATGTTGATTTTTTTTTGCAATTCAAATAATCCTCTTTACTGAGTTGTCTGTCGTAATTTCTGTGTAACTGATTCATAATTTAATCAGTGTTACATAGGCTGCTGTGTAAGTGTACGGTACGTTTTTCTGTTTTGTAGCTGCTAGGAATAAAATAAACGAGGAATTTAGGAAAAATATGCAGGAAACAAAAGCTGAAAACATAAACCAGGTAGGCTCCTTTTTAGTTTATACATTTTATATTTTGCATAATTTGAGTGTTTTTTTTTTTTGCATAGCGGAGTTTTTGCAAACGTTTTTCCGCAACATTAGTCCTGTAATTGATGTATATGTTATAAAACTGTTGGAATGGTGTGCAGTGATATGATGCTATCTCTCCATTTCACCATTGCTTTGCAGATGATTAAATTTGGGTCAGATGTTGAGGTTGTTCTTCGTGAAACCGTAATACAGGGAGTTCATGTGGAAGACAATAAAATATGTAAGTGATTACAATATTATGCAAATCTATACAAAAACCGTGCTCTATTAATGTAACGTTTACCGGTACTATATATAGTTTCTTAAAAATCACCAAAGTACTTCCAGAAATCAGAGTGTACATTAAATTTGAGTTCGCATACGTATTATTCTTTCTTAATTTTTTCTACACTTCTCTTTTCTGACTATGTAATTAACCTTCAACGTTTTTAAAGTGTCAGTGATCTTACTAATCTGAATATTTTCCAGGTTTTTTAATGTGTAAAAATGTAACTATTCATTTACATATAACAAGGCATTTAAAAGCATATTTCTTTTGTTGTAAACTAAATACTGTATTCAGCAAAATGCAGCCAGTTAGCCTGACTGTGAAATCTCTGGTATAGCAACAGATGGCGCCAGAGAGCGCTTGCCTATAACAAGTGACCTGTTACTCTTTGGTAGTAATAATAATAATAATAATAATCGATACTTTATTGATTATTAATTGTCTTTACGCCTCCCTCAACTTGCTCTATGTAGAGTAAGCTGTCCGTGAAGGGCTGCCACCAGTAGGAAGCTGGGGGTTAAGGGCCTTGCTCAAGGACCCACATATGTGCTGAGGCTGGGTTTGAACCAATGACCTTGTGTTTACCGGCACACAGGTTTAGACCACTGAGCCACACGCTGCCCCATTGGTGAACAATGAATACTATTTTCTTCGCGTAAAGAACACCGCAGTAGTCCTTAAAATAATAAACTTGGCAGATTAATTTTCATTATTTATCTGCATTCAAGCACCTTGCTTATTCCTAAATTCATACTTGACTAGCAGGTCTTCTATCTTGATTTTGTTCTTTGCAGTACTCCGTCCGAGGGACAGTCTGCTTTTGGAGAATGTACCATACAGTGATACCCCAAGAAAGAAGGCATGAGTCAAAGGGACTTGAGTAGATATATATAACCTGAGATCATTTTGTAAGATATTTCTGCTTGTCGTTATTAACCACGAGTTTTGAGTATGTGTACTGTCATGAAAATGTAATGGTATTTATGATTCCAAAAGGAAAATGTCATATCGTCTATGAACTCGGGAACTACTGTAAATACACACTTAAGATATTATGAACGAAATATATTAAATATGTGAAATGTAATTGTAGATGATACAGGTGACTGAATTGTAATTCACAATTTCATTTGTCTGTATAAAAGAAAGCATTTTCAGGTTGTATTTAATCATGAGCCCAAAAAAATAAATTGGTGATCGATCATGTGGGCCTGCGGCATCGAAAACATTACGAGACCTCTAAGGTTGTAGCGTGACGTAGAATGAACAAGGTGACGGTGTCGTTTTGAGTGTGCGATATTATTCTTACTAACATGTCTAGACAAAACAAAATCGAACATCTTTTGAAGTGTAAGGCCAATTTTAGAAATAATCTACTCGGAGAGTTTATCGGAGTTGGAATATTGAGCAGTTAAGGTGTTGATTCAGCGGCTTGCAAAGATATACTGTAGCGCAGTAATCCACTTTAACACTAGATGGTGTGGAACAACACCTTAAAAATTTATCCTTTCCCTGTACGGTCGTTAATTGCGTAAAATTTCCCAGTTGTATGAGGCAGTTATGATCAAAACTTTTAATTAAACATTTGACTGGAGTCACTGTTTTTATAACATTGTTCTGAAACTTTGTCATTTAGTTGCAGATATTGGGATACAGGAATCAGCAATTACTGGCCTATATTACACCTTTATCGAGCAGACTTTTTTTTTTTTTGGGGGGGGGGGGGGTGCTTTGATGGCCTCATACTGCCCCTACACTGATGAAACGTTTTGTTTCAGCATGTGAGGTATCAATCCCCGCAATTTGCTCTGACTTACCTTTTAACTATTTACCTCATACAACCCTTATCAGAAACGAAGCCAGATGTTGCATCAAGAATGGCATCATTTGCTTTTGCTATTTTGGCACATTTAACATCCATAACAGAACCATCGGGTCCCTTATCTGGACATTAAACCATCCACATCCTAATAGCCTGCCTCGGTCTCCATAAATTCATGCCATTTTTTTCAGATCGACTCCATGAGAAAATTCCCCACATATGTGTTCAATGTGACTTTCATGTGGCATTTATGTACTTCGGTCTTTTGTACTGGACTTCGTCCGGTCAACTTTCTGTTTAGCAAATTATCTATAATGACAAAAAAAACATCCTAAAAATACTGCCTTGTACATTCCCATGTGCTGCTGACAGCTCATTATGTACCCAGCCACCCACGTTCCTGCAGTGTCCGTCTATCATTCATTGCTTCTTGGGAAATACTTTACATTGCTGACGTGTCTGCAAAGTCATTCCATAGATATGTGGTGAGCCACGTGGCAGATTAACTGACTGAGACCTTAATAGTATCTGTGCGTCTGTGTCTATGTTTGCAGTGTCTATAAAAAATCTTATATTTTATCGATATTTTATAAAGGGTCAGCACACCTGATTGAGTCAGCATGTTTTTGCCAGTTCTCTGCCCATTACATTTTAAAATATTTTAAAATTTTATCAGCAATAGAAGCAGTGAAACAGTGCTAGGAATTATAATGACATACTTAGAATCTTTATAATGATAAAATACACAACGGTGTATAGTATCTGACATATACTTTAATATTTGTCCCTTGGGGGGAAAAAAACGCCCTTTATCACGATGCTTGCATGCATTCAGATATCTAAATAATGCAGTCATGTTGTCGCTGTCATATTGTTGTGCTATAAATATTATATAACACTAAAATAATCTTAATATCTTTTCAAAAGTTTATGTTTCTGCCTGTGGTACCACGGTACCATTGAAAGGATGAAACAAGCTTCAGTCCTTTGCCGTCTTTATTCTCAAAGCTCCCTCCTTATTTCAAATGTGATTTTAGGTGTTGAAGATCAGGATGCTGTAACACTTACAATCTCGTTAGCATGTTAGCACAATGAGAGCGGAGCAGGAAGTGCTCTGCTGGTTTTCATCCTTCCATGTGCTGGGGTCATGATCCGCACAAGAGCGTTGGCATAGGAAGACACCGGCTGATTAGCTGCGCAAAAAATCTGGCCAGTAGATCCCTCAGCGAATGTGTCCAAGAGCCACCCGGGAGCATGGAAATCGGAAATATTTCTGGAAACAGGATGCTCTCCGAGTCGCGCTTAGCCCTTCGGCTTGGCACTGCATTTCTCTGCGAGGCTGCAACACACGGCCTGGGAGGGGAAGCCGTTTTAAAACCCTGTTTACCACAGGAAGCTTCAAAGTCCACAGAAGGCGTGGGAGCAGAAACATGACAGAGGGGCCCCCTGTTTTGCAGCAAGAATTTAAACAGAAAAGCAGTTATATTTACTAATATGAGCGCGCAATAACGTAACGCTGATGTAAAAGGATTATCATTCAGCGTATATAATACTGTTTCTTAGCGGTTTATTTTATTTTACAAATAAAATGCACTAAATTGTTTTTTTTTTAAATGCGTGCCTTAAAACTTTTTTGTGTCCCCCATAACACTTAATTTAATAAACGTAATTGATTAAGCTTAAAGGGGTGGCTTGGTGGTGCAGTGGTTAGCACTCACACCTCTGGGACCTGGGTTCGAGTCTCTACCTGGGTTACGTGTGTGGTGTTTGTGTGTTCTCCCCATGTCATCATGGGGTTTTTTCAGGTGCTCCAGTTTCCCCCCCCCCACACTCCAAAGACATGCTGAGGCTAATTGTAGTTACTAAATTGCCCATAGGGGAGCCTGTGTGATCAGGTTGTGTGAGTGTGCCCAGTCCAGGCACACTCACACTTCCAGGATAGGTTCCAGACCCCCAACAACCCAGAAGGATAAGCAGTTTGGAAAATGGATAGATGGATTAAGCTTTATTTTATATAGATTAACTTGGGTATGTAGGCCTATGTACCCAACGTAATTTTTACCCATCATAAGTTCTTCAAAATGGATACAGACATATATATACTCACACTGTCATATAAAAATACACTTTCAAACATCATGAAATTCAAAATAAGTTATTTTATTAGTAAACAAATTCAAAGGCAAGCAGAGTATTATGTGTCATGACAGATTTTAAAATTCATATGTTACGAGGTTCCAATTCTAATTTGAGGATTGGAAGGATGTGTTTTTTTCTTTTAGCCAAAGTCCAGCAGCAAAACTTCATTGAAACCATGTGTCCCTTAAGTGAAATAAAGCACATCACAGACCCCAAGGAAAACTATATAGATTGCCATAACCACATGTAATAAATTAGGCCAACAGACCGGTACTACTGTCTAGTTCATCTTGACAGGTCCCCACAATTATGCTAAGCCATTATATTCAAAAATGAAAATTCAAGCAAAAAACACACTGTATAAGAATGGTAACAAAGTTTAATGCATGGAAACATGTGATCCCAATATAAAAAATGCCATACTAACCACTATTTCCAGACACTGAATCTGCATATCTGCTGTCCAACGTAGCCTATCTATCAACCCAAAGCAATCAGTGGCTCATCTCTCCAGTATCCAGAAAACCATGGGTTATTCTCTCTGGCTCCAAGAGAAGCATTTCTTTGCAATGGAAGAAACTGAATATTGAGGAGAGGGAGCAAAAATTTGAAGGAGAGAGTCCGAAAAGCCGGGATGATGAGGGGGTAGGGGTACCCTGAGTGCCTGGTTAATGTGACCCAAACAGGCTTTCAGGGAGACCGCACTGATTTTATTTGAATTAAACAGTGATGAATGGAAAGCGCTACAAACAACAGGCTATGTTTGCACACATTAAAAACCCAGTTATAAATACATTCTGATTTAATGCATTTCTTAGGCCTGATTAAGAATGATCGTAATGTTGGTCACTATCTTTTTACATTTTAACTGGCCGTACTTCATTTAATTTTTGCACAGTTCGTTATTAAAGTGTAGAAAGCCTTTACATGTGAACATGAAGAGATGGAGTGTTAGAAGACAGCTAAGTAGTTCCCAGGCTGACAGGCTTGTCCAGGTGTCAGACAATTGAGATGATTCTAAGGTCAGGTCAAGAAAGGCAAAAGAGTCAGATTTACTTCAAAGGCCTACTTCAAAGTCACCATAGTTATTTTAAATATGAAAGGCCACCTCTGTGGTCTGGGATTTGTGAATGGGGAGTTTGTGCTTTTTAGGATTTCTTTACAATCTTTTAACAAATGTATCTGCGTTCACTTGTGTTATTGACTCATTTAGAAAATGGGACCGGACAAGGGGTGGAATTTTGCAGCGCAATGTAACAATGAGGCTGCCATTCCCGGACTGACCACAGAGGGCGCTTTTCCCAAGCACTCACAGTGGGAGTGTTCCCTGCCGAGTCCCCTCCTCCTCCCTGATAGCAAGCAAGTGATTTCTTTCTGTTCAATTCCTCCAAAAAAAGGAGGAAAAAAACGGCTGCATAGCCAGTACCGCTCCTGCGGCGCCGAATCGCCATCTTCGCCAACATACCCGCATTTGTGTCAGTGCCATAGCCCGATGCATCGGGGAAGCTGAGCACGTCCGCCGAGGATCTGCCCGATTACACGGCAGGTGAAGATAACATTTTATCTGCGTTTGGATTTGCACGGGGATACAATAAAGGGCGGCACAAATTCCGGTAAGACTCAGGTTCTATTAATTACAGTATTGTTGTAATGTAGCAGAATCTTTCCTGCGCTTTATTTGGTTTAGGGATGCGAGGGTCCGCCGTGCGCTTTTGGTATCTTCGAGTGAACCATTAAATGTTTTATTCTAGATACCGGCACGTTTGCAATATTACTGGCTCTCCGGACGCCTGCCAGTTCATTCATTCTCACGCATTATTTCTGGTTGATTGCAGCTCAACCCTCAACCATTGGCATTGTTAGATAAGTGAAAACAGTCGCTGCCCTGATTTCGCCATTAGTTAATTGCTCCGAATCAGTGATCAGGCAGAACTACATGAATATGGTTGGGATATTATTTCCCCCCTGTTAATATAGTGTATTCATCTTGTTAGCCACAGTTACCCGGTTAAAACGAACGGGGTGGTTTAACGTAATGTGTGCGTGGGGTGGGGGACCGTTCGCCGTCACAGTCTTAGCGGCACCGGAGTACCAGACCGCGCATGTTTAATATGCGGTTCTGCCGTCGCTGATCCAGGCATAAAGCAGACATGTCTCTGCCTGTCTATAAAACAGCCCTGAAGATGAGCACGGTTTCTGGAGTCCGTGGTACTTGCGCCGTGTGCTGCTGCTGCTGCAGACTGCACGCCTTTTGACTTCTGCGTTTGCGTCCCCGGCCTGCAGGGATCGCTCCACCTGTGGTGGCTGCGCGACAGGTTGCATCGCGACGCGCAGTTCAGTCAGACGTCGCCGTCGTGGCGCTAACCGGGGACTTATGTGCTTCTTTGAGCTTGTCGTGCAGAACAAAATAACAATTTCATTGTGTACTGCACGTGTCACAATGCATTGCTTAAATCTTTGAATTATAATGGATTTGCTGTCGGATTTTAAAATCCTTTTCTTTTAATGCCACTTTTACATTGCATTGTACTGACATGTTGGCAAACGTAACATTATTGTTTTTCTGGACACACAGACTTAAATTCATCCATGTCTTTCATTTCGAAGATGGTCATCTTTTCTGCACTTATTGCATTTAAATGT